GCCAGAGAATTAGAAAGCCTGGTAAGATACTGACTTCCTTTGGGCAAGCCATTTAGATGTAGATCAATAGGAGTAAGATACCTAAATACTTATTGGGATCTGGGCTTTAGAACAGAAGACTGTTCTATTCATTAGTTACACTGGAAATGCTACTTCCCTACTTCCTAGGCATATTGTAAAGCTAATACACCAAAAAATGGCACTCAGATACGACATAGAAATGGTGAGATGGGTGATTGAATGGGGCAGAAGTTTTATATGGGAAATAGGAGAGTGGAAGCCATGTGCAAAGAGAGGGGGCAGTGTAGGTAAGAGTCAGGTTCATTCTCTAATGGACTGCAAGGTCTGCCAAAGCCCCAGGTAAGTTTCACCAGAGTCCCTGTAGAGCTGGTGGTACATTTTTGAGGATTATTGTCTCTTTGGCATATTCAAGGACTGTTTCTTTGAGCCAAGGAAATTGTCATGCAAAAACTTTGTTAATCCACAATTAAAACACATTTAGCTGAAAAGTCCACAGCAGAATGCTATTTTCCCTAGAGACAAGCAGTCTCTAAATTCCAAGATATGTTCTACTTGATAACGATGTTATCAAACATTTGCCTTTATGGCTGTGGTCATCCAAACAATGTAGGACTTTAAAGGTGTCACTCAGGTAAGTTTTATGCAAGTTCATTAAGAGCAAGTTATTGTTTCTGTGTCACTAACGAGCTCAACCTATGTGATGGATGAGTGAAACTTCTTGTCTCATTGTGATACTATGGGAACAGTTAAGGCAGTTTGTGTACCGTAACTGTACACTTCTGTATTTGAGGATGATTTTTCTTGTCAGTGGACCTTTTTTAGCTTGTCACACTTTTTTTCACCACAGGATTTTTTAGCTATGTAAGATTGTTGCAACTTAACTTCAACAGAATGAAGTTTTTGTCTGTGAATAATGGCACGGTGCTAGTTTTTTAAAGGGAAGATCCTTCCTAAGTTTTTCCAAACATAAAAAGTGTACAGTAGTTTACATCACCAGTACAAATAAAGGTGACTTCTGTTTGCATTCTAATTTCAATTAAGCCTCAAACCTAATCATGCAACTTAAACCTAGAATGTTTATGTGTTTTCAAAGAGGCAGTTTCACCAGGAAGCAAACTCATCTTGTACATTTTTTAAACATACCTTGCAACTCAATGTAATTGCCATTCTGTGGGGAGCTCTTCACTAGATGGTAATGTGAAGAGAATGGATACATGACCTACTAAGCTAATCAGCTCTGAGCAGGCAAAGGACCTCTGAGACTTCTGGTACAATGTTATGGACGGTCTATAAGAAGACATTTGCTTACTATATATCATGAAAAATAGGGGGGGGGTTCATGCTTGGAAAATTTCAGAAGATTTTGTCTTAGCTGTAGGGAAAGTACTGAAAAGTAGGCCAGTTACTGTAAATGCAAGCAAGGAGCCTGTTCAGGAGGTAAAAAGGGGGAGATCACTTATTACAAGCCTAACAGACCACAGGCTAGTTTGGTGTAGCTATATAAAAAGGCTGATAATAACTATAATAAATTAAGTTCTAATTGGTATGATTCATCTGAGAACTCATTAATAGTAACAATTAATAATTGTTTACTATATGAGTATTCACATGCCTGCAGCCTTGGGCTGTCAGCCTGCCAAGCCTGTGCAGAGACAGGATACTAGGAAACCTTGATATGGAGGATTCCACCTCTCCCCAGACTTCTGTAGAATTTCTGACTCTTGTAGAAAACATGGAAATTCATTATATATCAGGGTTTACACTTCATATTATTCACTGGTGTAACATAATGTTTTTAAAGTACAGCAGGGAAAGAAATGAACAGTAGCTATGTACTAATCCAATCAATGCAATGACAGAAATGGTAGAGTTCTCAGGGATAATGCAGAAAAGACAGAAATGTTCACTAAATATTTCTCGTCTATATTTGGGGAAAAAATCCAGGGGCTGGATTCCTATCGTATAAGACAATGGAATACTTTCCATTTCTATCTTTCACAAACAGGATGTTTTGGAGCAGCTGCTGAAGTCAGAGGTTTTTAAATCGGCAGATCCATGTAATTTAAATCCAGCAGTTTTAACAGAGCTTGCCAAGAACCCTTCTAGATCATCACTAAGACTTGGAGCACTGGGGAAGTTCTCGAGGGCTAGATGGGAATGTCTGTCCTGCCTCCAGGAATGTCTGTTCCTGTGGGTGTTACCAAGATGCAAGCCCTGCGCACACACCAATGCCAGACCTGAGCTCAAGCTTATTGCATAGTCTTACTCACAAGGCTAAAAGATGACCTTAATATCTCTACTGAAAAGGGAATTGCATTATTACTGTACTTCTTCACAGGTCTTCGTCAGCTCTGTGGTAGAGCTGCTGTAGTGGAACCATGCTTTTGGTTCCTCTGATTGACTGGTGCTGCTCTGTCTCTTCTCTGTGAACTGGGAAGGTGCCCAAGAACCTGGCTCATACCTCCTACCTGAAACTACCCACTCAGTGTTTGTGACCAGGGGCAGATCCAGAGGGAGTGCACTGGTGCCATTGCTCTCCCCTTTGATTCCTGCTCCACCTGAAATCTACCTGATACCTTCTAAACTCTTCATTTCACCGATGTTAATGACCCTGTCTCCTTTTTAATGGTCTTGATGATCCACTAATCAAGCTAGCATTTTCTTCTGTAATTCTATAGTCTGTTAGCTGCTCCTGATAATGTAGTTCCCATTTCACAGCCTTGCAGACTCTTTTTAACTCATTGAAATAGCGTTATATTTGTTTTTGCATCAGTCTTAGACTGAATAATGCAGCCCTTGGCCCCAGGCATATTAGTAAAGCTTCTAGTTCCTTTTTACCTGGAGAAAAATGTGTTGTGTTATATGTGATGATGCACCTCACCATGTGCCCACACCCCTTTTCAAAATCCTAGATCTGGCCAGGGGAATGATCTTAATGTCACACTGAATGGATTTAGCAAATGCTTAGGGAAAAAAAGCAGACCATTCCAAGTTTACTAACAAATCTATTTGGGGAAAAAGGATCGGGGTAAAGGGAGCAACATAGAATGAGCGTCTAATCCATAAAGTATGGAAACTTGGTCCTAGCGTGGTGGGTTCAAATCATATTACAGCCACGAAGCGAGTGGTGAAGGGAAATCTCTGAAAGGGATGATGGCTCTGCCTCTGAAAGAGGCAACCCTTCTACAGATAAGTCATCAGTGCCAGAAATGACTTATCTGTGGGGCCCAAAAGGATTCAGAAGAGCTACAGTTTTAACTTCAGAATGCATGACACTACATGAAATTGCAGACATATGCTTTTCACTACTACACCTCTGCCCCTATTTCATATTTGTATCAAAAGCCTTCTCAGTGACTATGGAGCCTAGAACACGTTGTCCTGAATGGATCATAGGTGCTTTTGAAAACTTTACCCAGATGAATATGCACATTGAATCACAGTAATGAGCTATCCCAGTGTCTCTCAACCTTTTGAACTTGAGGCATTCTTTAGTGGACTCAGGGCTCTCCCCCCCCATAACTTTTGTGAATTGAGTGGCATCCCATTTCAAAAACATATTTATATATTACAGTGCTTACTTCCTTGCAGAGGGGACAGATGGAGGGGGTAGGGGGCCAGCCAGGCAGAGGCAAGCCTGAGTCTGTGCTTATCTGCTCAACTCACACCTTAAGACACCTGTCAAAGGATCTCACAGCACCCTGGTTGAGAATCGCTGATCTATCCTGTAATCAGTAGTATGTGCCAGTTGCCTCAAAGGAAGTTGTAAGAAATTGCAGGTGTTGGTTATGGGGTAGCTTGTCCCTGGGGAAAGCTTCTTCCCCAACCTTAATAGGTAGAAATTATCTGAGAGTTTATCATTCCTTCCAGGATGCACAAACTGAATTTTATGTCATGTGATCATAGTTTTCAGATACAAGCTATAAACCTTGTCAGCAAAGTACCCTTACTGTCAGTTGATTTGCCCAGTGTCGTTCCCTTCTTTGCTATGATTGTTATAGACTACTTTCATAGAAATGAAAATGCACGGATAAATGTCCCGACCTCTCTTTTCTGCAAATATCTGCCACCTCTGGATAAAAAATATATCACAGGTTAAGAAGCAGGGGTGTATTTGTGAGAAATGCATGACCTATTAATAGGTTGTACACATCATTGACACAAGGATTTTAAAATGTGCTCTCCCTTTCTGTTTAGTCTTTGCTCAGGCTAAAATATCTGGGTTTTGTCCCCTTCTAAAGTTTCCCATCAAAGGCAAGCTTTGCTTTACTGCACTTGCTGAAACAGTGCTGCAAGTGCATTCAAAAGTTAGCAGTCGTGGGGCTCTGTCTGCAAAAACTTTTGTGTTTTTTGCAAGTAGAGCCAATAGGAACTCCTTCCAGAGAGCAAGTGTCTGCAGAAGCAGGTAATTATTTTCCAAGGCAATGTAGTATAGCAGGAAAAGGCACAACAAGACACTACTGTGTCTTGATTCTCCCGTGCCTTCACCGTGTGTAATCATTCACATTAATGAGTGCCAAGTGGTCCCTTCTGATTTAGTAGCCTTTACACTCCCCTGGCATGGCCGCAAATGACTGCCCAAGGTGTAAGGCAATGGAGCATTGGACCCACAGTGTCCATCACTGAACATGGTCCTCCACAGTTGCTTTACAAAGTGCAGCCAGATGAGAGGATACTCTTTTACACATTGTTCCCCCTTGTCTTTCTCTTCTAAATTAACCTTCTCATGGTGGAACCCGTCTGCCTATTCAATATGAATCGCAGTCACTACATTTACACCCAGAATGCCTCATTCCCATTGTTTCACAGAAAGTAAGGAAGTCCGCTCATCCTTGTCACTCTGTGAGTCCCAATGCATCAATGGAGAACTTCAGTCAGCAGAGAATTTCAACTTTTCCCAGATAATTAGAGCACAAGCTAAAAATCTGTCTTGGCTCTATACAGGAAAAAGATTATGTTTAATAAAAAGGGTTCTTTACCTTCACAGAAGACATCTGTTTCTCCGGGTATGGCTAGGTCTTCTTGTAGGTCCTGCTGCATTGTGGCCACAACTCAGCTAGAGGTAGCCGTTACAGAGCTGAACGCTTGAAGTAGCTTCTATGCTATAAGAGGACTATTTCCTTTCACCAGTTTCCTTAAACATTTTAGTAGTGGCAGCTTCCGCATCTGCACTTACGAAACAGCCTCATTCATATGAATAAGCTTTCTTATTTTTATTCATGTGCTTTGAGATTGGGTTTGAGGTGGGGTGTTTCTTAATGCTGAGAGAGGAAGAAGCTAGAGGGGAGATATAGACAGGACTGGCTCAGAATGCAGGATGCATTTTCAGCCTGGCTGGAGTGAATACTGTTCCAAAGCAACAATGCCAAGCAGAGATGTTATTTCAAAGAAGAGTGTGGGGTTCTTTTGCATATGAATGTGAGTCTTTGCTGGTGGCAGCGGTAGAGTCAGGGAGCGATTCCCATTCGTCTTGCTATAGAAAAGTTCAGCTTCCTGACGAGGACAATTCAATTCAAGTACTTCTTCAGTGTCCTGGTTTCAGTGGGAAGCTTCTTAGATTAGCATGTTAACAGCAACAGTATTTTTTTTCTTTCTTTTGAAAAGGAAAATTTGTGGATTTACATATAGGTAACACTGAGCTCAGTTGTGATCGCAGTAACAAGAACCCAGTAACAAGAAGGCATTGGCGGCTGCTCAGGGTATATGGCTTTTTCTTTTTTTACTCCCCTAAGTCATCACTTCGGATGCATCACCAACTGAAAGCACTACATTTTGTCTAGCTCTAAACTGCTGATCAAAATCAGAATGCCTGTCAAACCTAAAGTAAAAAAAGAAAAAGACATCTCATTTACATTTGAACATCAGGAATATTATTTTAATACCAAATCAGCCCTGCTGATGATTTTTCCAGTTGCTTACTTCTGCAAAATATTGCTTTTTCCAGTGGCCAATGTTTGGGAATGATTAAAGCAAGGAGATTCACTCCTGTTAAATGTTTTGTTGTCTGTGGGATACTCATGCCTAGGGACTATCTGCTTGCTAGACTTTTGAATCTACCATTGAAAGGCTTACATTTCTGCTCAAGTGTCTACTGGCTTCATTTATTCATTAGAATAAAAGTGTGGGGGGGTATTGGAACCTGAGAAAATTACTCTCCCGTTTTTATTTGTTTTTTTTGTTGGGGTTTTGTACTGTATTTTGGTTTTTGCAGAGGTTGGGTTGGGGGTTTTTTTGCTGTTAGTGCATGTTGTTCTTGCAAGGAGAATGAATCCCATTTGACGTTTGCCTGTTGATTGATGTCAAACTGGACTGAGATTTCCTCAGGGAAGGGACTGCTTCTAATGTGTTGGTACAGTACCTAGCACAATGGGCTAATCTCCTATCCCAGCTGGGGCCTCTACATACTACTGTGATATAAATAATTGGAAAGAGAATAAGAAGTGACAAAAGGAGAAGAGGCAGTTTTCTGGGAAGACAACAAGAAGGATAGAGGAAGATGGGATTAGGAACAATAGGAGTCATGTATTATGAAAAGGGAAAGTGATAGGTGAACAGAAAAAGGAGGTGGAGAGGGGAGGGATGAAGTGAGAAAGAATCAGTCCAGAGGGAAATCAGCCTCTTCAAGTGCCATCCAAAGAACAGATAAACGTTCAGGAAGAAGTAGGAGCTATTGGAGTCTCCTATTGGAGACTCAAGTAACACTGAGCAAGTATGAATAGGAGTGTCACTCGCAAGTCAAGCAAACGGTGGCAGAACTAGGGTGGGGTGATTGGGGCAGTTGCCCTGGGCACCAGCTTGGGGAGTAGGACACAGAAAAAAATGGCTGTTGGTGAAGCTATACAATCATACTGGCAGCAGTCATGACAACAAAAAGTTGCTGCTATCCCAGTGTGTGGCAGCTGCCCAGGGCACCAACCATGTCACTATGCCTCTGAAGGGAAGTGACTCTTCCACGCTAGTTGGCACCAGTGAGGCCTCATTTAGAGTACTGCATTCAGTTTTGGGCACTGTGCCTCAAGAAAGAGGTGGACAAATTAAAGTCAAATGGAAAGTAATGAGAAGGATTAAAGTTCTGGGAAAGACAATATCAGAAAAGACAGAAAGAACTGGGATCACTTAGTTTGAGGAGTAGAAGACTGAAGCTAGGTGCAGATATTCAAAAAGCCCGAGGCAGAATCAATCTAAGTTATGCCGTTTTCTGTAAGTGGTGTAGTTTAGATTGGTTGTGAACAAAACACACATTCACCCTTTGGTGGAGGTGGGGAGAGAGGAGCAAATCTTAGACCAGCTTCTGCCATTTTAAAGCCAGTTTTGTGTGCCGAACATCTGTTCTGTTATGGGGATAGACTGGTTTCCGATCCCTTACACTGGTAAAAGTGTAGTGTCTGTACTTGGGGTGCCCCTGAAGGGGTAAGTGATAACAGTTCTCAAATACATGAAGGTGTACAGAGGATGGTTATTGACTGTTCTCAGTGACTGCAGGGGACAGGACAAGAACAATGGTCTTAAATTGCAGCAAGGGACATTTAGGTTGACTATTAGAAAGAACTCTGTCATGGTGATGGTGGTTAAGCATTGCAATAAATTATTTTAGAGAGGTGGTAGAATCTCCATCTTTGGGTGTTTTTAAGAGCAGGTTAGACAAACGCTTGTCTAGAATAGATGCAGATGATTCTGCCTTGAGTGGGAAGTGGACTAGATGGCTTCCTAAGGTCCCTTCCAGCCTTGCCTTTTCTATAATTCTGTGGATGGGAAAGCCCCAAAAATAAGTGAAAAGGGGGAGGGAATGGGGACAGAGGAATAAAAGAAAGGTAGAGTGTCATATTTCCATTAAAATATTTCCTTCCCAGAGCCACACCAGGACTTAAGATTTAAATCCTCCCTCTATAGTGACCTCTGCCTTATCTCCTTTGACTGTTATGAAGGGAATCCTGACCCTGACCGAATCAGTGGCAAAAATCTCATTGATTTCATCTGGGCCAGGATGTTACCCAATGAGGACCAATGCTGGGCAAAAGCAGCTTACATATTAAACCCACTATGAGGTGTTTTGTGCACCTCATAATGCTGTCATTCATGGAGACATGAAATATTTGAAACTCACAGCTGGCATGGAAGGAGTGGAGAAAAAGGACAAAACACACACTATAAAAAAGATGCTAACTTCCATGTTCTGTCTTGTCATTGTGGCTCATTTGTAAATTGAGCACAGAAAACTTTAGCCATTTAGCAGAGTTTCTGAAACACCAAGGAACAAGGAAGGCTGTATTGGTTATTGTGGCACTTCCCTTTTGTACTTCATTTCCCCTAGGACTTGAAGTTATTTCCTTGTGCACTGTGTTCAGTCAGCCCATCTAGATGCCTGTTACCTTGACAGCCCTTTTTAATCTTTTATTTCCAGGAATTAAAAGGCATCAAAAGCTGTTTTCTCTCCAGAAAACAACTGTCACCCGAATGAACACACAAACTAGACTGGTGGTGAATGGTAATGACTCACCCATCACTGCAAATGCACAAAGAACAGCCTCTTTGATTCATTCCCTTTCACTATACTGCCTATCCCTGAATGACAGGCTCACCTACCACCACACTAGCTTGTGAAGCTGCTGGAGGAAATCTGTCTTGAAAGGAAAAGGAGACCACTTTATTTAAAACTGAACAGTTTAACCTGCAAAAATGATCTATATTCTGGTGGTCAGAGTTGGTTTTCCTTTCTCTCTGCCCTATCTCTGATTTGTGCTTGGAGGTTGGTATTTATCTGTGTTCAAACTCCTGATCTCAAGCCTCCAAGAACCTAACCCCCCTACTTTGACACCACCTCCTTTTTTTCTCTTTCCCTCCTGCCCATTACGCAAGAAGCACTTAATCTTTCTCTCGGTGAAATAAATACTGCTGCTTTTCTTTCCAACTGTTGGTTAAGTCAGCCACTCCAAACATAATCTAATGAGAGTTTCTGCAAGGCTCTCGTTCTTTTTATACAACCACATCTGATGATTGTTATCTCAAAATGTTACCACCCATCCTTCAACAGCATGTAAACAGAAACTGGAGGGTGGCAAGGTAGCAAAAACAAGAGTGGAGAGTGTGGACGGCGCAAGAAACAAGTACTCTGAGCCAGCTTTCAAAATAGCTTATGTGAAGCAACATTAGACTTTATAAGAAATGTTTTCCTTTGTTGTTTCCCCTGCAGCCTATGGAAGAAGATGCCTATCTTGGTGACCGCTGTGAGATTTTATAATAATGCCACAGGAGGAACTAGGTAGTCATATCACACTGTAATTAAGATCTCCCTTGGGGCCACTATATTGAGATACTTCCCCTCTATGTGGCATTGGTAAGGCCACAGCTGGAGTACTGTATCCAGTTTTGGGCACCACACTTCAAGAAGGATGCGGATAACCTTGAAAGAGTCCAGCAGAGGGCTACTCGTATGGTTAGGGGCTGCAGATAAGGCCCTACGAGGAGAGACTGAGAGACCTGGATCTCTTCAGCTGCCGCAAAGGAAGGCTGAGAGGTGATCTTGTGGCCATCTACAAATTCATCGGGGGCTGGGAGGGGGAGCAAGGAATAGGAGATACTCTGTTCACCAGGGCGCCCCTTGAAATAACCAGGAACAATGGCCACAAACTGATAGAGAACAGATTTAGATTGGACATCAGGAAGAACTTCTTTATAGTAAGGGTTACCAGAATCTGGAATGGGCTTCCAAGAGAGGTGGCGCTCTCCCCTACCTTGGGGGTCTTCAAGAGAAGACTGGACAAGCACCTAGCTTGGGGTCATCTGACCCCAGTGCTCTTTCCTGCCCAGGGCAGGGGGTCGGACTCGATGATCTACTGAGGTCCCTTCCTGAGGTGGTTGATAACTCAGGGGACCCCATCTTATCACAAAATCATGTTTAGTGTCACACTAAGTAACTTATTTTCTAACAGGATGCATTTTTACAGCATAGACAAGGTCAGGTGCTTTCAGCATAATCATTCAGGCTCTCAGGAGGCACTTTTCCATCTGTGTGTGCATGGCTGTTCCTCCTGGGGAGATTCTAGCTTCTTTTATGGTAGACCTATGTCATGACAGTGACATTGTGAAGAAGGAATTTTTTGTCCTGTTTTGGCTTTGTGAAACCC